ATCTGCACCTCCTTTCCTTCCATTTAGACCCTCATCTACTACTCATTGAAGTTTCCATAACTATCCTCCCTGCACTAGTTCTGCCTGCCCTTCGTCAAAGGCCCATACTGTGGCCAGATCTTTATAAAAATACAATCACATCAAAGCCACATCTCCACTTACAACTCTTAAATGGCACTCAGGATTAAGTACTTATAAGAATCTTCTCAGTTTCTCCTTCAGCTCTGTCATTTCACTTTGTCCATCTCTGTACCACTCCAAACAGCCCTGAACTAACTGCAGTTCCCCCAAAAGGTCTGTGCATTCGTCCTCTAGGCTGTTCTATCTGGGACAGGAGGCTTCCCACAACACTCACCGAGCCATCTCTACTCATCTCGCCTTCAGACCCCTCCTCCTCCAGCCTTCTCTGCTTGGCTATCCCACTTGCGCACCTCTTTTCCAGTTTCATGCTCCATTCTATATGCTCTCTGGCATCCTACATGGACCCCTAAAATCACAGCATTCGTAACATTGCTCGAAGACTCTTTTATAGCTCTGCAAAACTAGCAGGTAAATTCCTTAGGGACAGGATCACATCTCTTTTGCCTTGAACCATCGAATTCATTGTCTGGCAAATAGAATATGCAATGAATGAATGCTGTTAAATGAGTAAGCATGTAGACAATTCATAAACTTATACAGACCTAATTGTGTACCACAGAAAGACCCAGCTTTAAATAAAGAATCACACAGAGTAAAATTATTTCCCGTATCGACATGCCTTGCTTTACCATTTTTTAATTTAATTTTGTATTTCCCAGGTAAGTAGCAGATGAGGGTCTGAATGAAAGGAGGGCAGGGATGAATATTTTATTTCTATTTGGTTATAAAATTTTATTTCCCATCAACCAAAAGTCTTAATTTCTAAAGCATTTCAGTCACCCTCCTTTATGGCACATAACGTATTTTAATACCATCATAACATGTAGTATTTTGAATATTACCTAGTGGCTAAGGGCAAAGGCTTTGGAACCAAACTAATTGGACCTGAATCCTGATTCTACCACTTAGTAGCTGTATGATCTTGAATTAGTTACTTAACAAGCTACTAAAGCTTGCTTCAATTTCCCATCTGTAAAATGGAGATTATAAGTGAAACCACTGCATATAACTATTGTTAAGATTGGAGCTTAAACAGTGCTTGGCACATAGTAAATGTTCAATAAATGTTAGCAATTATTAATTATTTTTATCTCTTCTAGTAGACCATGAACTTCTGAAAAGCAAGGACAGCAGAAGTATTCATTTCCAGGACCTCATCTCCCCAGTGCCTTGCACAAAGTAACATACTAGGCTAATGTCTGCAGAACAGATGAATATAATGAAGTATTCACTGCAAAAAAAAAAGTACATTAACAATTATGATGGCTGGTATGAATGGAATTGCTCCAACAATTTGGAAGCCTGTGGAGAACAGGGACTACCCAGAACACTAGAACCCTGCTCCTGGAGATTTGGAAGGTCACTTAACCTCCGTGGAATATGCAAGACTCACAGACAAAGAGGGCAGCTGAGTGACAGAGGAGACCCACGTGGGCCTGAAGAGCTGGCTGGCTGAGCCTCCTGCCCTTCCGTTAAGAAGCTGCAAGGCCTTGGGGCAAGGAGTTCCACCTCTCAGGCTGATTAATTTTCTCTTCCGATTAAGAGGGAGTAGGACTGTGATTTCTTTTTTTCTTTTTGAAATAGGGTACAGTGGTATGACCTCAGCTCACTGCAGTCTCTATCTCCTAGGCTCAAGTGATCCTCCCACCTCAGCCTCCTGAATAGCTGGGACCACAGATGCATGCCACCATGCCTGGCTAATTTTTAAAAGATTTTTCGTGGAGACAAGGTCTCACTATGTTGCCCAGGTTGGTCACAAACTCTTGGGCTAAAGTGATCCACCCACCTCAGCCTCCCAAAGTGCTGGGATTACAGGCGTGAGCCACAACATCCAGAAGGAATGTGATTTCTAAAGACTCTCCTAGCAACTTTGGGAGTCTACAGAATGACCAGACGAAAAATTAAGCCAAGAAAGGTGCTTCTGGGGTAAAAGAACCACATCAAAGTCAACACAGGAAGCATCAGATGATTGTATTACATGGGATTACTGAGTAGGAATTGACAACATTTGAAACATGACAAGTAAGATTTTTGAAACATGCTTAGGATGAAAAGATCTAAACTTATAAAATCAAAAGAAAAGCAATGACGGGTGTCCATTCTAGGTTTCTATTTAATTCCCATTAGCCTGTAAGTTTCTTGAGGGCAGTGAATGTGCCTTGATAAGTGGCAGTGTTTGGCAAAGCTGTTCAATAAAAGTATTTACTCTGTATCTTTTTTCTGAGCACATGGCTAAACTACATTTCCCAGGCTCCCTTGCAATCAAATGTGGCCATATAACTAGCCCTCAAGTAAAGACTGTGAGAGGAAGTGATGGTGTCACTTCCAGGCTAAGGTATTTCAAAAGTGGGTGTGCCCCGTCTACTCTCTCTGTTGCCCCTTCTGTAAGCTGAAACAGGTTCCAATGGTAAGCTATGGGATGGCGGAGCTAAAAGATAGGGGTGTGGGACCCAGAATCACTGCATGGCAGAAAGCCACCTACAGATCAGAAACATGAACTTTAGACTATTAAATGAGCAAGAATAAACATCTATTGCTTTTGAGCCATTATATATTTGCAGGCCTATTTGTTACAACTGCTAACATTAGCCTAATTGATACAGGTGTTGAACACATACCAAAGACCTAACTCACATTTGTTGATTGTTAAATGAAACAGAGTACCCACTAAGATAAAACTTGGTAGGAAACAAGATAAATAAGATAAGGTTCCTTTTATCAATGTGCTGACCAACTAATGGTGGAAACAGACTCATGCCAAACGTAATAACTGCTGCCAAAGTTTGAAACCAAAATATGATGATTTGTTTGGAAAGGAGAAGATGGAAACGGCTTCACAGAGGAGATGACATTTGAGCTGGGCACCAAAGGTTAAAAAGGACTTCAAGGAAGTCAGATGGGGTTAGAGATTGCAGACCCAGGAGAAAGCAGAGTGTGCATTTGCTCACATTCAACCTTATCATTAAGTCTCTCAAACTTGGTCAACAGAGTGCGAGTTTATGTGCTCTGGCTTTCCTTCCTGGGTCCGGCATCAAACAAACGACCCTTTGTTTTCACAGTACACTCATTAACCCTATTGCTTTTTTTAATGTAAAAAGCTCCACGATTAATGTTCTTAAAAAGCACATAAGTAAATGTTTCACGAATCATAACTCTTTTCTAATAAAATTACTGAAAAAGAAACCTACAGTTCTGTTGCTTATAATAGTCGAGGAGCCATACTTTTAGGAAAGAACGGGTTTCACTTAAGTTTTGACAATATCGATTAAGCGTGTAATAGTCACTGGTTTACAAAACGGAACATTAAGCTCCCAGATTTACATTAACATTTCCTCCTTAAAAAGAACATCAGATGGTTTAGACTTCAGTCAAGATTCTCTACAGCCCCAGTTCATAGCCAAGTGGCCCCAAAGCCTCATATAGTTAAACCACTTCCTCCAAAAGTCTGCGAGTCCCTTTATCTGAACACAGGGTAACCATGGAGCAGGGACTGGGGAAGAAGACAGTACAAAGGGTGGAAAGTATTGCAGTTGCTTGGGTGGTGAGAAAGGAAGTGGGCGTCCCAAGACTACCTTGAAGCAGGCAAAAGACAGTCTGCAGTGGTCTTCCAAATGCTAACTCTAGACTGTTTTATCCATGTCCCCGGGTATTTACTTCAATAAAAGGGTAAAACAACATCACTGGGCTGACAGGATTTCATTTCAAAAGACATCAGCACAGTGACCTCTTAGACTTGATAGAAGAAGCCAGTCAGGTTGCCTCCCCCTTATCAAATACCAATTTAATTCTGATTCAGAAACAAAATTCTTGTGACCCCCACACCAATTTACTCTACCCCAGCTCTTAGTACTTGTTCCCAAAAGAAGAGGGGAAAGAATAGGGATAGGGAGGCTACCTTAAAAGTAAAGCAACTCTTAAGACTGCTGGAATAATTGTCCCCTTAAACCTAAGAAACACTGCAGCTGCCAGTCAACACTACCGGTCTGTGAACACAGCAAAATGCCGACACCTGCCACCCGGCATCTGGGGGTTCTTTTATTTTTTGGTAAATGTGGCAGGAAAGACTCAGAGAGACCAACTGCTTCATGGGAAAGAAAGGGAAGCCCCAGGGAGGAGAGACAAGAAGCATCGTGCCTATCCTAGGGTACTTTGTGTGTCTCCTCTCTATGCACTGAAAGGGCTCTTTGTGTCACACTCACACTCACACACACACACCCGGCGAGTCTGTGTGATTTATTGGGGGAAGGAGGGGCAAAAAGGGTGATTTTATTATCCATCTTCCCAGTGAGTCCCAGCACATCTCTCCCTGGGCCCAAGCTCGGTGGCCTCCTTCTGGCCCAGTCCCCTCCGCCTGTGGCCGCAGAGATAAGAGAGGGGAGGAGCCCAAACAAAAACAGCCATGGATCTAGGGAAGTAGAGAGGAAATCCAGCGAGGGAGCCGGAAAGGAAGGAGAAAGGAGCTGGAGGGAGCAGAGGGGTGAGGGACAGAGGAGAGAAGGAAAGGCTCTAGCACAGGGGAAAGGGGAAGGGTGGGTGGGTGGTGGCACAGGAAGAGTGAAGGAGAGGATGGGGGAAGTGCAAGGGAGGTGCCAGAAATAGGCAGGAGGATGGGTTGGAGAAGGCGACCGCCGCCGAGGGAGGAGGCCGAGAGGTGGAGGAGTGGGGCAGGGGTTGGGTGGGGAGGGAAGCAGCACGGGGCATCAATTATTAAGTGATTACATCATCCCTGACATTAAAACAACACACACAGCCCCAGTCCCCGCTGGGGGCCCCGAAAGGAGGGCGGGGGCGGAGTCTGGGCCAGCCTCACCCCCAAGCCAATTCCAATTTTCACTCGGCGCCCGCTTGCGGGCGAGGAAATGGGGCCCCCATCCCCGCGCCGCCTCGGAGCCGCACCCCGCAGGGGTGTCCTCGGGTGCAGCCACTGGAAGACCCCGAGCGCCGACTCCCCAGCAGCCCCGCAGGGCGCCCCGGCGGCCGAGGGACCGCAGCGCCGGGCCCCGCGGCGGGGGCGGCGTGCGCGGGGGCGCAGGCGGCCGGGCGTCTCCGCAGCATCCCCGAGGCCTCCCGCGGCGCATCCCTGCAGCCTGCTTACCTGCGCGGCGCTCAGGCTCCGGAGCCCATTCACATGGTCCTCTCCCCGCCCTCCTCCGGCGCGGCCGAGGCGGCTCCGGGAGCTCCCCGGCGGGCCCAGGAGCCGGTGGGCCTTCCGAGAGCACGGAGGGGGCGGCGCCGGGGTGTCCCCGGCCCGGCGGCCGGATCCCTCCCTGGCGCGGGCGGCGGCCGCCGGGCGGTGCGACGCGGGCGGCGGCTTTGTGTGCGCCCGGGCGGTCCTCGGTGCGCCGGGAGAAGCGCGGCGCGCCCGGGTGGGAGAGGACGCGCCGCTCGCAGGGCAACCTCGCCTCTACTCTCGCCGCCGGCCGGCGGGCGGGTCTCGAAGGCCTTCGGCTCGCGGCGACCCCTCCTCCTCGCCCGCGGCAGCCCCCTCCTCGCCGGCTCCGCTCCTGACAGATGGCGCAACTGCAACGACGCGCCGCCGCCACCACCGCGGCTGCTCGCTGCTACTCTTGCTGATGCTCGGCCCCTCCAGCTCCGGAGGGGAGCGAGGAGGGGGCGGGGTGCGCCCCGAGAGTGACAGGCCCCGCTGCCCTATCAAGGAGTCCCTTGGGAGCTGCGGGCCTCAACCATTGGCGCCTGGGGCGTGGGCGGGACGGTAGTGGGTGGGGCCGCCGAGTGGGTTGAGCGTTACTGTGGCAGCGGGCATCCCAGGGTGCGTGCGGTGCAGGGTGTGCAAGAGGATGCGAGGTTGGAGGAGGAGGTCTGTGTGTTTTTAAGGATTGTGTGGAGTTGTGAGGTGGCGGAGTAGGGCGGGAGAAAGAGCGGAGAGTGTGAACTGCAGTTTCTGCTTTGCGGAAGGTTGCAGCTGCTGCTGCAGATTGGCACCTGCCATTCCCCCCAAACCATGGGAACCTGCCTCAAGACAGGGCTATCTTGCCTTTCTGGTGTTTTTTCATTTGAGGGTGAGAGGATGAAATGGAAAATTGTTTGGACGGTGATAGCAGCGTTTTCTTTGATCAAACTGAAAAGAGTAGCGAACAAAGTAGAATCCTGTCACTGAAACGTGGAAACGCACAACAAATAACAATGAGGAGGAGAAGGAGATTAGGATCATTTTATCAGTCCCCTATTTCTGGAGACGCTTATTTATATTTCCTTTCTAGCAAAAGTCTAGAGGAAGTATTACTGAAATGGGGGGAGGGGCGAGCGGCGACTAAAGAACCTGAAATCACAGAGATTTTTTCGTACATTTCCCCCCACAAAAAAACCTTGTTTAATTGTAGCCATTGGTTGTCTTTGGTTTCTTATGACATTCAAACCTCTCATGTTTTTTTCCCCTTCACTGAATCTGAGCTTTTGCTCAGATTTCCCTTGATGAAATAATTGCCGGTTTAGTATACAGTTGGGAGTGCATCGGTCTTTATTTCCTATCCAGCTTTTCTATGGCAGGATGTAACTTCATGAAAAGAAACACTTTGGCTTCCTGATTTTCTTTATAGGTAATTCCTGTTTACTGAAAGTTCTGCTTTAAGGCATACTCAGAATCGCTCTCCTTAATGATTTTGGCAAGAACCCTGCCTTTCCCCCTCAGCAAAGCTAATGTTCTAAGAAATTATAAGTGAATCAGCTTCTGCTTCTGTGCTCAAAAATCTATAATATTGCCTTTCCGGCCCACTACTTGTTTTTAATTAAGTTTTAAAAATCAGTCCCTTTTGCTGACTTTTTCTTTTTGTGCACTCTACTTTTTAAGAAAAGTTGCTAATATTTATTACATGATCTGCATCCTATGGAGGAGGAAACTGAGGAAAAGAGAAGTTAAGTAACTAACTCTAGGTGACAGTATAGGGTGGTTACTGGATTTTTTTCCTTTTCCTTACACAAAATGGCAAATTTAACCGTGTTAAATTGTGTCTGCAAATTCCATAATCCCAAGAAATGGAACCATAACTAGGACTAGGATATTTCCATATAAGAGAAAGCCAGCTTCATTTAGCCAAGAATTGCTTATCTCAAGAGCAGAGTCTCTTCGTCCTCAGGGCTAGTCCACAGTGGCTGTTCTGGATTTATTTGAATTGGGATGCAGAGGCAGTTGTGTAGAGCAATGATTCTCAAACTTTGACATGTATCAGAAATAACTGAAGGGGGTTGCTTAAACATGAATTGCTGTGTTTAACCCCCTAGAGGTTCTGATTTAGGGGGGTTGGGATGGTGCCCAAGAATTTGCACTTTTAACAAGTTCCCAAGTGATGCTGATACAGCCGATCTGGAGACAACACCTTGAGAACCATAGTTGTAGAATTGGGCTGTCCAAGGAGGTAGCCACTAGCCACACAACTGTTAAGTACTTGAAATGTACTTCAGTATTGGAAATTTGGCTACTGCAAATTAGGATGTGCTGTAAATGTAAAAGATGTATTAGATATTTCAGATCAAGCATGAAAAATGGAATGTAAAATGTCCCATTTTAATATTGATTACATGTTAAAATGATAGTCTAAATGTACTGTGCTAAATAAAACATATTATTAGAGTTAATTAAATTATTTCTTTTTTTTTGAATGCAACTACTAGAAAATTTTAAATAACCTATGTGGCTCGAATTATATCTCTATCGAGCAGCACAGTTGTTTCTGATTCCAGCTCCACAGTTCACTGTTGGGAGCGCCTTGATGAAGGAAGTCGCTTATCCTTTTTCAACCTTAGTGTCCTCATACATAAAATGTGAAAAATAGTAAAACTGTTCTCAAACTATTCCTGACAGACTAAGTGTCATATGCTCTCAGAAAGAACACTGTTAGACTACAGACCTCCTTGAAATTTCATATTTAATTCAATCTATCTTACACTAAATCTGGAAATCTGGAGTAGGTGGGATAAGTCCTCTCTCTCTCTCTCTCTCTCTCTCTCTCCCCCCCCTTCCCCCCCCACCCACTTCTTCAAGAGAAGCCACTTCTTAGTGTCTGCAACTCTAATGGCTTCTTGATCTAATTAGTGGACAAAGAGACAATGTGATTAAAATGACAGATTAACCTGCTCCCATCAAGACTTCATCCTGTTTTTTGTAATTCTTTCCTTACCTAGTTTTTTATCTGTTGCCCGTCTTAAATGTAGCTTTAAATGGATTTGGACTCCTCAGGAGAATTTGCTAATGGTCTGAACAAGTGTGTAGAGCACTGCAAAAGATTTGGATACTATTGCCCGTTTTGATCTATTCTGCCGATTTCTACCAAGAACTTGATTAAAGATCTGAGATGCTGTCCCTGCCCTACCCAACGTAAGTAATATTGTCTTCCACAACCACCAGTTTTGTTTTCTTATGAGTAGCTTCTATTACACAAATTAGAATGTAGTCATTGTTCTAGAACTTCTCTTTGATTTTATTGATATTGTTTATATATTTTATATTTTTCTACTTGCTTTACCTGAAAGTTTCCTCTTTCTATTCTGGCTTTCTTGAACTTGTCTCATCTGAATCTCGTCTCTTGCTTTTAAAGTAACTTTTTCTCTTATTTTTATTTTATTAGCTAAAACATTTTCTTGTCTTATTATTTCATTTTAGTTTTAATCTCTTAAATGTCAACTCAACAACAACACATATGGCAAGGGTAAAAACCCTCAATATAGAGTTTTTACAAATCAACAAGAAAATAAAGATGAATGTTTGAACTGAAAAATACGTGCAACAAAAACAAAACCCAAAATGACCAGTAAATGTGATAGGAGGTTCAACAGGAAAATGGATACCCATACCCTACTAGTGGAATTTTTAATTGGTACAGCATTGCTGGAAAGCAGTTTAATAGCATTTGTGAAAAGCCTTTTTAAAAAAATGTATACATTTGACTTAGCAATTTTACTTCTGGGAAAGAATGGAACAAGTTTGCAAATATACACATACACACACACACACACGCATATGATGAGAATAATTGGAACATTGTTTATAATAGTGAAATACTGAGAAAAGTTCATTAATAAGGGATTTGGTGTGTAAATTATGTTATATCTATAATAGAATACTATATAGCCATAAAATTATGACATTGCCATTTATTTATTTATTTATGTGGAAAGATTTCACAACAAATTAAAATTAAGAAAAGCTGATAAATTAGTATTGTGTTTGTATGTGCACATGTGTATGTTTATATATGTGTGTGTATTAATATACATATATTTCCACTATTTTTAAACTTATCTATATGTGTAATTTTTCATAGAAAGCAATACATACACAAAAGTTTTAATGATGGTTTTCTCCAAGTAATCATATTTTAGGTCACTGGTATTTTATTTTTTATCTTTTTCTGAATTTCCTCAACTTTTTACATTGGGCATTTATTATGTTATTAGAAAAAACAATAAAAACATTTTAAACTTGTTTCTTTTTTTGCTACTTTAATTCTCTTTTTTCTTCCTCTTCCTCCTGTCTGCTGTTTTTCCTCCCTTTTGAAGGAATATTGCCCCAGGGTAGTGTTCAGGAACCAAGATCAGGACCAGAGGGAAGCCTTCTGCTTTTGTCCACACACAGCTACCCTTCTTGTTTCTGGTGGGTCTTCTGGGACTTGCAAGAATGATTCTTATAAAACCTCACTTTGAGGTTAGGCATGATAACTCATTCCTGCAATCCCTGTGCTTTGGGAGGCTGAGGCCAGAGGACTGCTTGAGCCCAGGAGTTTGAGACCAACCTGGACAACACAGCAAGACCCCATCTCTAAAAAAAAAAAAAAAAAAAAAAAAAAAAGATGCCAGGTGTGGTGGTGTATACCTGCAGTCTCATCTACTTGGGAGGCTGAGATGGGAAGATTACTTGAGCCTGGGAGGTCAGAGCTTCAGTGAGCTCTAATTGCACTGCTGTAACAGAGTGAGACCCTGTATCAAAACAAAACAAAATGAAACAAACAAACCCCTTCAGTCTGAGAGTGGGACACCACTGCTAAAGTGGCCCCAGGGCTAACCTGTCTGTACTTGGCATAACTGGTTCACTGTTTACCTCTTGCTTCTGATGCCTTATATCAAGTCCTTATATAAAGAGTGACATATTTTTATATCCACAATCTTTAAAACATAGCCAATGGATTTAGGGCACTTCGGGTCCACAGCTTGCCATGAGCCAGCAGGAGATGGTCCTGGAAAAAATCTCATGTGGGCAAGACATGTGGGCAACACCTCAGCCTGAACTGAGAAAGGAGGGTAGGTGATGTTAAACCTGCCTCTGGAAGGAAGATACCTGCGGCTCTTCTGAAGTTGAGATTCTGGTCCTACTTTTCTACCGTTGTCTCTCTTGTTAAATTGTGTCCACACTGGACAGCTGGTCCTCCTGGCAGGCCACAGCAGAGCCCTCTTGGCGTTTGGCTTTCCAGCTCCCTTCTCTCTTAAAAAGATGGAGGGTAGACTGACTAGACAGGAGTTATTATGAACATGGTTTTAGAGCCCATGTGCACTGAACCTCTTTTGGATGCTCTCAACGTGTCAGGGTCAGTACTGGGCAAGCCAGGCATGCTGGGTAGGAGGAGAGGCCTATATTCTAACCAGACCACAGGGAGGGTGAATTGGGTGGCACTGACTGAAGATGCATTTCTTTGATTCTTTGCCCGACTCTCCAGGGGTGGCTTGGATTATTAGCCTGTGAAGTTCAAGTGCCTGAGAATGGGTCTTAGTCAACCTTGAGGGTCTAGATGGAAACCCTTCTAATTTCATAGAGTTATCTTCCAACACACCTCCTGCAGGGACCCCATAGAAGCCTAACAAGGGAGGCTGTTCTGTCATAAGATGGCCTGCCCCTTTCTTCTGCATACTAACCAGTCATACCTTTCACTCTGGCCCTTTCTTGACTCCTCACTGTCCACTATTTCCAAGCTCTACTCAGTGCAGTGACATTATTTAAGACTCCTCCAGTGTAGTGGAACCAATAGAACACCCCATCCTAGTACAGATAACTGGATCAGAAACCTTTGGACTCCCCTGTTTGCAGGAACGGGTTGATTAGGCCTGATCTTCTTTAGGTGAGCTGACCCTGACTTGACACACCACGGGAGACACTCAAGAGTGACACTGTGAGGCTAGCAGAGGCTTTTTGTTTTGTTTTTATCTGATAGAGCTCCTAGAGTGTGCCCTCAATGATTCAGTTATTTTCCTGGTCATAGCTGCTTGTAGTCCTAAAGAAAAAGAGATAATGTCTCAGCTTTCTAATTAGTTTAGTGATCTACATCTGTGTGAAATGTGGACTTTATGACATTTATCTTGCTACTTTCAAGAAATCAAATATTCTATCTGTCAAGTTGTCAAGGGAAAAAATGAACTGAAGGAGGAGGAAATTATTGTATCAGTCAAGGTTCTTGGTTGCAAGCATCAAAAGCCTACTACGTCTGACCGGGCACAGTGGCTCACACCTGTAATCCCAGCACTTTGGGAGGGTGAGGCAGGGGAATTGCTTGAGCCCAGGAGTTCGAGACCAGCCTGAGCAATATAATGAAACTCCATCTCTACAAAAAATACATAATTAGCCAGACAAGGTGGCGTGAGCCTGTAGTCCCAGGTACACAGGAGGCTGAGGTGGGAGGATCACCTAAGCCTGGGAGGTTGAGGCTGCAGTAACGTGTGATTGCACCACTGCACTCCAGCCTGGGCAACAGGGTAAGACTCTATTTCAAAAACAAAACAAAATGACAACAACAACAACAACAACAAAACACAAAAAACCAAAACAAAGAAAATCCTACTGTGTCTAATTTAAGCAGAATAGGAATTTTTTAGGAAGCCATTGATTGGCTCATAGAATCAATTGGAAGACTTAAGAACCAGGCACAAAAAGAAAAAAAAAAAAAAGAGGGAACCAGGAATCACTACCCAGGGGCACAATTGAGAGCTGGTTAGGACACCTCTGCTGGTGTCCTCATCCTACCAGAGACTTCTGCCACTGCCAAGAGGAAACACCACTGGATGTAGATTCCAAGCCATCTGTTTATCCTTGTTTCACTTGCTGAAGATTCAGATTCTTAGGTGGCAGCATCCAATATGCTGACCATACCCCAGCTGCCAGTCAGGGTGGGAAGGAGTTGGGGGGCAGGAGGCAGAGGAGGGGGAGGGAGATTTGAATTTTTTCAGCTTCTGTGGGAAATGGTCAGGCCTTGCCCCACCCAACTCAGATAATAGGACTCTCTCCCCTCAAAAAAAAAAAGGGAGACGAGATGCTGGGCCAGAATTTAAAAATGACAAATGCCCACTGCAATTGGTCACCCATATCTCTGTGAACCTCAGTGATCCGTGATTGAGTGTCCCTATTCATTTAACAGGAATTTCTTCCTTTCCCATCTGTTCCCTAGGCCCACCCTTTACATTCCCTTAGCAAGGTACATAATATTTGTTGAACATAATGTTTAACATGAATGATCTTTCAACTTTCATTTATTCTACATTTACCAGGGGAGAATTAATTGTCTCTGAGAATGCATGCCAAGATTTATGACACATCTTGTAGGGATGTGAAGCTTGTCAGGAATGGGAAGATTGATGGGTTTTCTTACGCTTTCTCCTACCCTGAGAATCTGCATGTGAGGTTCTGTCAGTCTTCCTTTCTTCCTGTTTATTATCCTTCTTTATGTAGGAAACACTCTTGTGTGGGTACCCAGCTCACAGTGATTCCTCTTTTCTGGGAGTAGCTCCCAGTGCCCAGGAGTGGGCTCCTGGAGGCCATGTCTATATCAAGTGACCCTGTAGTACCACATCCTAGCTGATATGGTTTGGCTGTGTCCCCACCCAAATCACATCTTGCATTGTAGTTCGTGTAATCCCCACATGTTGTGGGAGGGACCTGTTGAGAGGTAATTGAATCATGGAGGCAGTTACCTTCATGCTATTCTTGTAATAGTGAGTAAGTTCTCATGAGATCTGATAGTTTTATAAGGGGGTTCCCCTTTTGCTTGATTCTCATTCTTCTCTTTCCTGCCTTCTTGTGAAGAAGGATGTGTTTGCTTCTCCTTCAGCCATGATTATAGGTTTCCTGAGGCTTCCCCAGGAACTGTGAGTCAATTAAACCTCTTTCTTTTATAAATTACCAAGACTTGGGTATATCTTTATTAGCAGTGTGAGAATGGACTAATACACTAGCTATAGCCAAATGACCAGGAGGATAGACACTTATCCCTGAACGAGCCAAGTATTATTTACCAAGAATTTGAAAACTGGATAAGAGAGATACAGAGCTGAGTATATTAGCGAGCTACACCAATTAGTAAACTAAAACCAGCTTCTGTAACAAACAATCCCCAAATCTCAGTGGCTTTACATAACAGAGATTTACTTCTCTCTAAAGTCACAGTCCATTTGGGTTTTGATGGACAGTTATTCTTAAAGTGATTCAGGGACCTAGGCTCCCTTTAACAAGGATTTCATTGGATTCTATTTATATGACTGGGAAACAAGGAAGGAGAGGGAATTGCATGGCAGATTTTAGGGGTCAGGTCTAAACATGACATACATCATTTTTGCTCACATTCTGTTGGCCAGAACTAATCACACAGCCACACCTGTAGGCATGGGAGCTGGGAAATGTAATCTAGTGGTGTTCCCAGGAAGAAAAGGAAATGGCTTTGGTGAGTATCTAGCCTGTGTGCCACATTGAGAGATGGTAAAATTAAACAGCGCTCTGGGGAAACAATACATAGATATGCACTTTACACAGATACAAAATATGTTTTACATAGATACAAAGTATGACAATTTGAGATAATATTAAAACTTAGAAGTAATATCAGCTATCCTTCTCTAAATTTCATTTTGACTGTTGCTTCACTGATTTGGCCAGCATTACGTTTTTGTTTGTATTATAACGTAGCAGTCCTCATCAAGCCAGACACTAGGACGGCAAGGATATTTTTGCCAGGGTACATGCCACAAAGCACTAATTTTAAGTTAGCATCTATCTGTTGATAGTATGTGAAGGGCAAAACTTCTTTCTTGAGGAATCTTAGATGTATTTTTGTTGCTTATAAATGTTAAAGTTTCATCCTCATGGATATACTTTGAAAATTCCTTAGTCCACCTTACTCTTCACCCACTCTCTATTGTCTCCAGATTTGTGGAAACAGATTCTGAGTCAGCTATACTAAAGTGGAAGATGAGAGGAAATAAACACTTTCTACTAAGTCTAAAAAAGAATTGAGTCTATTTTAAGGCACTATCTATTGCAAGTATCTTAATTTGTTTAACTAGTTGCCTATTGATGGATGTAAAAGATGTTTCCAATCTTTTGTGATTACAAAAATGCTGAAATTATTGTCCTTAAACATACATCATTTTGTACATTTATAAATATATCTGGCTACCTTGAACATAAGAACACATGTATTGGCTAGATATTAGGATATTGTAATGAGTTCAA